ATGAGATCTCGCCAAGTTGCCCAGGCGGGTCTCGAACCCGCGGGCTCAGGCAATCCACTCACCTCAGCAGGTTTTTAAACTAAGTATTTCCTACATAAAACAATGAATAGGCTGGGTTCTGTGGCTCTTCCTGTAATCCCAGCACTTTGGGAGGCGGAGGTGAGTGGATTGCCTTAGCCCGAGGGTTGGAGACCAACCCGGGCAACTTGAAGCGACCTTGTCTCTACAATAAATCAAAAAAAGAATTAGCCGGGCGTGGTAGCACACACCTGTAGTTCTGGCTACTTGGAAGACTGAGATGGATGGATCGCCGGAACCCAGCATGTTGACACTGTAGTGGCCGTCAGCGTGCCACTGTACTCCAGCCTGCGCAAAGGAGTGAGACTCCAATTCAAAAAAAAAGAATATAGCACACATGGTATCAAAATAATAAACCAGCCGGGCTCAGTGGCTCAGCCTGTAATCCCACGCCTTTGGGAGGCTGAGGTGAGTGAATTGCCTGAGCCTGCGGGTTTGAGACCCGCCTGGGCAGTGAGACCTCATCTCTACAATAAAGTTTTTAAAAATCAGCTGGACGTGGTAGCGCATGCCTGTAATTCTGGCTACTTGGAAGTCTGAGGTGGATGGATCGCCAGAGCCCAGCAGGTCGAGGCTGCAGTGGCCGGGAGCAGCCACTGTACTCCTGTTAAACCCAGAATTCAAATCCGAGAGAGACCACAAAGAGCCAGCTCCGATGCAAACACACGAGGATCTTTATTCAGGCTCGAGTCTGGGCTCACGTATGAAGCCGGCAGTGGCTTCAGGGACGAGAGCCCCGATCCAGTATGGCAAGCAGTTTTTATGCACAATTACAGAGGGAGGGGAAAGAACTTTAAACTTGATTTTACATGATTGGGTAATTTCTCCTAATGGGTACGGGAACACTTGGTATTAGTAGGTGCCTTTCATGGGCTTTAACCTGACTGCCTGTGATTGACAGAAACCCACTTAATGGGCAGAGTAGAATGTCAGATAAGTTAAGTTCATACTGTCACCGTGTATAAATTAACTTGAGCAAGCAGGCAGGAGGTTACTAGCGCCGCCAAGTCTGCTGAGGCGGAAGGGCTTGTTTGCTTAACATTTATATAACATAACATGGTCATTATGGGACAACAAAAGCTAAACTTAACAAAGTTTTAAATATGAATGCTGCAAACACATACAGTGAATGTGGGGTAGAAATTCATATAGTACTAGTTCTAGGAATTTATAAAATATCGCAAACGTCTTATAGCAAGGCGGTTTTTCTAAAAGTCTTTTGATTCCCTCAGGTTTACACAACCACTGCGTGTAAATTAGCTTTGCCATAGGAGCCGGAGATTTAAACTAACATAGAACCCACTTGGAGAGCAGCTAGCGCCTCAGAGTCTACTGCAAAGGAATGTCTGAAAGGGGCTTATCGCCTTAACATTTACATCCCATTGTAAAAGCAGAAGTCAGCATGGCAATTGGGACTAACAATGCTTAACTCAAGAGTTCTAAATACAAACACTACTTAAGACATTATATAACTACACAATCAGTCACTACCGGCACCCGACATATGCCTAATTCTACGGGGTCTGAGGTAGGATTTAAAGTACTAAGATTTCATAAAGTACAGTGAACATGAGGTAGGAATACACAAAATATATAGTAAACATGAGGTAGGGATATATAAAATATAGTGAACTAAACACTACTTTTACAGCAAGTATGACTTTTTAAGTTTCTTGGTTTCTTGGGTCTCTCATTCCCCTCTCTCAGAGGAACCTAAAGATAAGACCCAATCATGGGTCCACATAGGTTTTCTTTTAAGGCCTTTCTGAAAATGGGTAGGAGAGCAGAGACAACACGGGTAGGTTTCTTGGGTCTCTTAATAGCATGCTCTTAACCTAAGTCTATGGTGTAGTCTATTACTGTCCTCTCACTCCAGTCTGGGCGACAGAGTGAGACTCCAACTCAAAAAATAGTAATAATAATAATAAAGTAATACAATTTAAAAAAACCAATAATCAAAATTAGCCAGGTGTGGTAGCGCGTGCCTGTAGTTCCAGCTACTTGGAAGGCTGAGGCGGAAGAATTGCCGCAGCCCAGCAGGTCAAGGCTGTGGTGGCCGGAAGCGGCCATTGCACTCCAGTCTGGGTGACAGAGTGAAACTCTAACTCAAAAAAAATAAAAATAAAAAAATAATAAACTACATTACAATGTATCCTTTATCCAGTGTTAGAAATAGATCATTACCAGTTTCCCAATCGTTTCCCTTCCCTTTCTCCCTAAGAGTAATTATCAGCTGGGATCCGTGGCTCAGCCTGTAATCCCACACCTTTGAGAAGCTGAGGGAGTGAATTGCCTGAGCCTGTGGGTTCGAGACCCGCCTGGGCAACTTGGTGAGACCTCATCTCTACAATAAATAAAAAAATCAGCCGGGCGTGGGAGCGCATGCCTGTAATTCTGGCTACTTGGAAGGCTGAGGCGGAAGGATTGCCGGAGCCCAGCAGGTCGAGGCTGCGGTGGCCGGAGTGGCCACTGCACTCCA